CAACAAGGCCAGTCCCAGAGATAAGGGGTATGTCCTAGGAGGAGAGGTTAAGGGAAATCGACCTGACGACACTGGAGGACAGAAGAAATAGGGGGGATATGATAACGACATAAAATACTGAGAGAAATTGACAAGGTGGACAGAGACAGAATGTTCCAGAGATGGGACACAGCAACAGGGGGAAACAGTTGAAAGTTGAAGACTCAGATGAATCACAGGGATGTTAGGAAGTATTTCTTCAGTCGCAGGGTAGTCAGGAAGTGGAATAGTTTGGGAAGCGATGTAGTAGAGGCAGGATCCATTCATAGCTTTAAGCAGAGGTATAATAAAGCTCATGGTGCGGGGAGGGTGACCCAGTAGAGGCCAGTGAAGAGGCGAGGCCAGGAGCTATCAATCGACCCCTGTAACCACAACTAGGTGAGTACATCTAGTTGAGTACTGGTTTCTTCAATAAAATTTTAGATTAGGACTTATGTGGTTCAAATCTAAAATTCAAACCTTTCAGAGAGACCAATACTCTAAAAGCTCAGTTCCACAAGGCACAGTACTCTCTCCCATTCTATTCCTCACCCTCATTTCTGACATAGAGATGTAAGTCACAGCTCCGTGTCTTCCTCTGTGGATGACACCCGGATCACCATGGCAGTGACCTCCATCGAAGACACCGCGAGACCCCAAGCGGACATCGAATGGACCACTCAAAACAATATGAAGTTCAACGAGGAGAAATTTCATCTACTCAGATATGGAAAACTTGACGAAATTAAAAAATGTCAGGGTATACCACAAATTCTAACCATACAATAGAGCGGAAAAGTAATGTGAAGGACCTGGAAGTGATAATGTCAGAGGATCTCGCCTTCAAAGACCACAACAATGTATCTACCTATCCGCTAGGAAACTGATGGGATGGATAATGAGAACCTTCAAAACTAGGGACGCCAAGCCCATAATGATTCTCTTCAAATCGCTTGTGCTCTCTAGGCTGGAGTGCTGCTGTACACTAATGCCCCCCCCCTTCAAGGCTGGCAACATTGCAGACCTGGATAGTGTACAAAGAACTTTCACGGCACACATAAGTGCGATAAGGCACCTAAACTACTGGGAACGGTTGAAGGTCTTTGCTCTGTATTCCCTCGAACGCAGGCGAGAAAGATACATGATAATATACACTTGGAAGGCCCTGGAGGGATTGGTACCAAACTTGCACACGAAAGTCACTCCCTATGAAAGCAAAAGACTCGGCAGGAGATGCAACATTCCCCCGATGAAAAGCAGGGGTGCTACGAGTACAATGAGAGACAACACAATAAGTGGCCAGGACCAAGACTGTTCAATTGCCTCCCAGCATACATAAGGAGGATTACCAATAGACCCCTGGCTGTCTTCAAGAAGGCACTGGACAGGCACCTAAAGTCAGTACCTGACCAACCGGGCTGTGGTTCGTACGTCCTCTTCCGTGCGGCCAGCAGTAACAGCTTGGTTGATCAGACCCTGATCCACCATGAGACCTGGTCTCAGACCGGGCCGCGGGGGCGTTGACCCCCGAAACTCTCTCCAGGTAACTCTAAAATGTGCAAGTACGTCTGAGCTACTTGAAGCCGCTCAGAAGTACAGTACTTACGCACGTTAAAGGCTTGATACTTACCAGATGCGACATGAAAAGCATTACTTCATTTTTTTTTTTAAATTTCTTCCAAATAATCAAGTTGGGACTCACACATAAAGTATGAAATCACTTCAAATTTTCCTCCAAGACTAACTAGCTTTCAAGAAAGTTTGTGTTACGTCAGCCTATTATACATAACATACAAATGTTTAAGAATAATCTTGAGATATCCAAATGAATTCAAACACTATGACTTTTTATCTGATCAGAAGACGTTTCATAGAAACCAACTGTTAAACATATTGGCTTTTGATAATTTGCACAACCAAACATCAAGATATTGTTTCCCTTGAAGAAAACAAATCACTAAAAGTTTTAAGCTGACCAATAGATGCATTTTATAGTTAATGCAGAGAATTCAATTAAAATTGTGTCTACACAGCCTAAACCCATGAAATGTTCCATCCAGATATTTCATATGATGCATCAGCCATTGAATATTGCTGTCGTTCAACAACTGTTATATTTTAATCAGAGGAACGCGCTGTACCCCCAAGGGGTCATGTAGCGCCTGTGCAATAGGGGGCATTCACATTCGATACAAGCAAGGTGAAAGTCCAGTTCCTTGGATCAAGAACCCCTCACCAGCATCAAGGAAAAATAATTCAATGAAGTCAAATAATACTATTTTAGTTTGAGGCTTAAGTGGCACAATGGCCGATCAAAGGAGACTTTCTCCAGTAATAACACAAACAAAAATATGGGAAAGTTTTCTGTATCACTGTGCATAGGTCAACCATGCATGAAAATAGTTCCATGATTCTTGCACAAATTACATTAAACAAGCGTTGATATTTTGAAACAAATCGGCGTTCTTAAGTAATTACGAAAATTCATGATAATGCAGTGAAAATGTTGCGTAAAATGTTCACAGAAAAAAATAGGAAAGTCTCCCTTTGTTAAACATAAAAAACGGCATGTATCCGCACACTGTTATTTTTCCAGTTTGTTTTTCACATTTACATTCAATTTAAAATTTTCTACAATCCTGTAAGAGAAATATTTAGATTTAAAAAAAATTGATAAAATTGGCAGTTTTTATTTTGCAAGTTGGCACAAAAATGTTTCATATTAATATAGACCAACATTTAGGGTTTGAAGCTGATCAGAAGAGCAATTCACTAGTAATTACATGGGAAACAATTTACTTAATAAGTGTCAAATTAAAATTCAGTTCTTTAACTTTCAGTAAAATTCTAAATTTTCACCTATTTAGACTAAAATTATGGATGATCATCAATGATGTTTTCAATCCTATCAAGAGAATTAGTATCACTATTTATTCAATTAAATTGACAAACTGGGATTTAATACCCAGTACCACCATGAATCTTTTGTTATGGAAACCATAGTAGTGGTGAAAATTTGAAGCCAATCAGATGAGTCATTCTCCAGTTATGGCAAGAATTCCAACAATTATCTCTTAAATATTGAAGCAGTTCGGGAGAGGTAAACTGAAAGTTTTTAACGGGAATTACAATGTGTATATAGACGGAACTGTCGCTCAAGTATTTTTCCCTGTACGTATTATCAAACATCTCTCTCTCCCTTCTCCATTCCAGTGAGTACATTCCAAGTGTTCTGAGACATTTCCGCTTATTACTCTTTAATAAATACATTGGGAATGAGAACAAGTGTTACACCATACCATCTACAATTCCAAGGCTTCGTCCAGCTCTCCTGGGGTAGGAATGATGGTGGCGACCTCTCTAGGTAGTAACACTGAGTGTCCTCAAACCTGCCTCTTTTGTTGCTCAACATGTCTCATGAAATCGTAATGACACGATTGCCTAATTTGATGTATCTTATTGTGGCTAGCTGCTGGCCCAGTGGCTAACGCGTCGGTCTGGAGTTTTAAGACTCTCTGATCTCGGGTTCTAACCCCGCCCGTGGTATGGTTTCTTTTGTTGCTGTTATCATCTAATTCTTTCATCATCCTGAATGTGCACTTTGTCAATCATCATTTAGCTTCCGGTCTTCTTGTAACGAAGTTGTGGCTAGTGGGAGTCCAATGTACTATGTTATATTTATAACGTTATGAACATGATGGTAATGAAAAATAAAAGTCACAATTCCATGGCTGGAACAATTCACAGCTAAACTACAATATGGAGAGAGAGTTTTAGCAGACCTTTCAGTTGGGCCGGGACCATTATCAAGTGATAATGGTCCGAGTATATTATAAAATAATAAGGTTCTGAGTTCATTATCAATTAATAATGTCCTGGTGTGACCGAAACGTATTTTAAAGTTTGCTCACAAGATTGTGAGTTGGAGAGTGATGAAAAGTTTGAGAGATTATGACTAGAGTGTACCAGTGTTTGTATACTCATAAGATGATGATTAACACTGTCTCATTTGCCTTGAGTAAAATCTGTGTTTCTGACGCAGTAAACTTGTGAAGTAGGCAGACTTGGAACACGTGTACAGTAAGCAGACTTAGTATACGTGTACAGTAAGCAGACTTAGTACACGTGTACAGTAAGCAGACTTAGTACACGTGTAAAGTAAGAAGACTTAGTACAGGTGTACAGTAAGCAGACTTAGTACACGTGTACAGCAAGAAGACTTAGTATAGGTGTACAGTAAGCAGACTTAGTACACGTGTACAGTAAGGAGACTTAAGTACACGTGTACAGTAAGGACACTTAGTACAGGTGTACAGCAAGAAGACTTAGTATACGTGTACAGCAAGAAGACTTAGTATAGGTGTACAGTAAGCAAACTTAGTACACGTGTACAGTAAGGAGACTTAGTACACGTGTACAGTAAGGACACTTAGTACAGGTGTACAGCAAGAAGACTTAGTACACGTGTACAGCAAGAAGACTTAGTACACGTGTACAGTAAGGAGACTTAGTACAGGTGTACAGTAAGGAGACTTAGTACACGTGTACAGTAAGGAGACTTAGTACACGTGTACAGTAAGGAGACTTAGTACACGTGTGCAGTAAGGAGACTTAGTACACGTGTACAGTAAGGAGACTTAGTAGAGGTGTACAGCAAGAAGACTTAGTACAGGTGTGTAGTAAGCAGACTTAGTACAGGTGTACAGTAAGGAGACTTAGTACAGATGTACAGTAAGGAGACTTAGTACATGTGTACAGTAAGCAGACTTAGTACAGGTGTACAGTAAGCAGACTTAGTACAGGTGTGCAGTAAGCAGACTTAGTACAGGTGTACAGTAAGAAGACTTAGTACACGTGTACAGTAAGGAGACTTTGCACACATGTACAGTAAGCAGACTTAGTACAGGTTTACAGTATGATTGCTAACATTCTCTTCAAAAAGTCAACCGTCGTCCTCTAAATAATAATATTTTATTTTGCAGGTTGGTGCAGAAGCTTAAGTGAACCTGGGATCTCCCTCAGGTCTGTCAACGCCAGTTCTCGCATGAACCAGTTCAGGAAGAGCTAAAAGTTACCCAGTGCATGAAGCTACAGCAAGGGAGAAAAGTGATTTTCTGTATAGCTAACATTCGTGCAGTAATTATTGTAATCTGATCCTCTCTTTAATGATAGATTTAGATTTTGCCACCGAGGTGGCTAGTTTATTGTGCACCCATATTCATCCTGTGGACGGTAGCGCAAGAGCATATGGGTACATAAAAAGCTTAGGAACTAGGCCCCAAAAGGCTTAACAGGTGTACATGTAGGTTTTTTTTCTATATATCTACAGTTCACGTATCTGTTACAAGCAGATTTAGGAAATTTGCTTAGTATATCTGGTATTTTAATTTCATCAATAAGATATCTTGACATGTCACATAGGTTATTATACTGTCTCTGTATTCCTCAATAAGTGGACAATTAAGCACATAGTGTTCAAGACAGTGACCACATGCTTGATCACATAATTTGCATTTAGTTTGATCATCATCTGTGTGTCTCCCGGACTGCCAGAAGTACTTGTAACCAAGCCTAAGCCTGGCCACTACATCAGTCTGTTCACATTTCACGTTGCTCCATAAACATACTTATCTACGTTCATGTTATCATAGTGGGTTATAGATCTACTCAGGCTTCTAATTGCATTCCTAGAACAATCATTTTCATTATTTTCTTCTCTCCTAATATTATTCCTAATGCTAGACACAGATATACCAAAGTTATATTATACATTCTCCTTCAGGGTACTCTTCTTGATTAACATGTCAACTTCATCATGAAGGAATAATCCAGTGTGTGATGGGATCCATAGCAATTGTACATTAATTCTTTTGTCCCTGATTTTTGAGCGTCTTTACCTGGCTTCTCCAATGAGCATGTTGTTGAAGTCATTATATGAGTCAAGAGCCTTCATTGATGACATAGAATCAGTAATGATGATAGAGTCAGGCTCAATGTCACAGGTTAGCTTTAGCGCCATTAGGATTGCAAACAATTCAGTTTACAGTGTAGACGCCCAGTTGTTAATTCTTATGCCTAACTCAACAAATTTATTATCGTTCTTAACTAGGGAGGTGGCAACAAGAGCAGATGCAGCCCTGCCAAGGACTCCTGTTTAGATCCATCAGTGTATATATAACTTGTGATAACTTATTACTACCAGCTAGGCGATAAATTTCTTCTTGAGCAGTTGCTTTAACAAGTGATTTAAGGAAGGGATTACTAGCAATGAGCTTCTGGGGAGGGACTTGCAGGTATGTGATATTAAATGAACACATCTTCCATGGAGGGGTGAAATGCTCTTGTTGCCTACTGTGATACAGTTCATGCAGGTTATAAAACTTAATGCAAGTTGCACGTTTTCACAATCCATTTAGATCTGTGTTTATTAACTTCTAGACACTTAGTATGGTTTATTGTGACAGTGTCTGGTTCATTTCTTAACATTCTAATACCGAATACAGTGTTTATCTCAACAATCCTATCACTGATACTATAAATACCAAGTTCCTTACTCATATTAAGAACCTTTGTATATTTGGGACACCCAAGAATAATTCTGAGAGTTTCATTTTGCATTAACTCCAAGGGTCAGAGAGAACTTTCTCTAGCTATTAATTATCAACATGGGAACAGCATAATCAATTAAGGACCTAACATAGGCTATGTACATCACTCTCACGATTCTCACATTAGCACCATAATTGGGGTTGTAGCCAGCAACAACTTTGAGAGCATATAGCCTATCTTTGCATTTCTTATTTAGTTGTGGTATAGTGGATTTGATAAAGGGTACATCTACACCAAGATATCTGTAAGTTTTAACGCAGCTAATATTTTTACCCTGCAAATAGATGGGTGGGGGATGTCGTTTACTTGTTAATATCTTTGTTTTAGAGGAAGATATTATGAGGCCTAGTCGATTACAAATTGCTTGAACTTCATTAAGAATGGTACTCATCTTTTTATGACCTGTTGTGTGGATCATGATGTCATCAGCATAGCTTATAGCTGTATGTTTAGGCGAGGCAGGTAGAGCATTTAGGAGAGCATTAATCAGAATATTAAATAACATGGGACTGAGAACTACTCCCTGCGGTGTACCTAAAGACATTTCTTTCAACTCACTTCTGAAGCTTTGGTAGAGGACAGAGGATAATTCAGTTTACCTTATTCCTTGTATATCTTCTTTTATTTTAACTGATTTTCAACAGTTGAGTTACTTAGCTGTTTTAACTTTGAAGTTTTAACTAATAAGATATTACAAGGACACCAATGGAAATAAGTCACTAAGTATTTTACACTAGGTTAGGTTAGGTAAGGTTTGGTAGAAAACAGCTTGGCAAAGCTCCTGGAGAGCGCAACGTTGCCACAATAAAACTCACATTAGTTGCACTTGTGTCCTTTTACTTTACATATTGTCGGTAATTCTACCCACATCATCACAAGTTTAGATTTAGAAAGAATACAGGAAAGTATTGGTTTGGAAATAGGGTAGTTGATGAGTGGAACAGTCTGCCTTGTAGGGTTATCGAGGGTAGTTTCAAATTTAGGTTGGATAAATACATGAGTGAGATGGGTTGGATTTGAGAGGGACTTGCACATGGGTAAAACAATTTTCAAAGCTTATTTCTTGGACAGCATTGAAAATTGGGTTGGGAAAATATTTTGTTAGTGGGATGGATTGTGAAGGACCTGCCTAGTATGGGCCAACAGGCCTGCTGCAGTGTTCCTCCTTCCTTATGTTCTTATAGTATAAAGATAATAAGTGCTAAGGTATATTTTAAAACAAATGTATTTTGTAACTGGAGTGATAGGCTTCAAGAGGCAAGTGCCAGCAGTCATCAGGAACCTACCACACAGGTCAGCTGTTTTAATAATCTTCCTAGCCAGCTAGTGTACCTCGCCTGTAATTTAGTGTTACCAGTGGGGAAAATTTTTCCTTTTAAAATACGATAAGGTGCAAAATCTGGAAGAAATACAAATAATGTACAGTTTTGCACAAATATGTTAGTGAAGATTTACAACAATAAGACCATTTATCATCCAGGACCTTGCCACAGTGTTGTCTTAGCTAATAACCAGTAACAAGTGGGGTGGAGTGACCATCATTAGAATTTTCTTTTTTGAAATACTAGACGTATACAGTGGAAATTCATATAACCTGTAGTTAGCAGTGGTCGCAATATACAAAACGAGAAGCAGATATTACTCCAGTAAAAGCAAATTTTCCTCCAGTAATCTTCACCGGCTAACTCTATTGATAACACAGCCTTTATTGTGGTGGAGACGGGAAAATTTTTTAGAAAAGCTAAATACAATGATATATAAGCGCCAAACCCTTGTATCAATCTAATCACATATTGCTTGGTTAAATAATTTTCCAGTAGTTCCTTCATGTGTTAGTACACAATCACCGACCTGATATGTGCAAATAAGTGACCGACCAAATTTGACTGGTTCTGAACCTTTGAGCTGTATAGCCCTTGTGGCTTAGCGCTTCTTTTTGATTATAATAATAATTCTGAACCTTTGACCGGTTTCAAAGGGGTTTGTTGGACAATAAGGTATCCTCTGACAGGACTTTAGACAGACTGGGTCTTAGGCATCCTTATCAAACACCCAAACAGTAACTACTAAAGCAGTAACTACTAGAGCGGTAAGCTTGTCCAAACATACAAGTACAAATACAAATAGATACAATACAAATAGATCTTTACTTTAAGTAGAATATACAAGAGGTTATTAGTGGAATACAGCAAAACAATCATTAAAATCACATTATGAAAGCCTGTGTAGTCTGCAGCCAAACAAACAAGTGGGCTTCCACATTTATTAATTGCTCTACCATATTGTATTACTTTTGTCACTACTACTACTACTACTACTACTACTACCACTAGTGAACATCGAAATGGTACCTCACTAGTATTACACCTCACTCTGAGCCTTTATATACCCTCTGTGTCCATGTATTGTTTGTAATGGCTTGATAAAGTTCCTGGAGAGCGAAACGTTGCCACAATAAAATGTCACATTAGTTGCACTTGTGTCCTTTTACTTTACAAATTATCCAGAAGAGGTATTAAATCAGGGAAGTGTTTTTGGGTATGCCCAAATGAGATCAATCTGTGGAATAAAATCACATTAGTATTAAAAGAGGATATCATCAAAGCAGCCTTCATTGAAAACCTGAAAGCATTCTTTAACAGATGGGAAAATAAAACATCTGGGCTAGATGGTGCTATTGCCCTTGGTGCGGATGATGTCCAGGCCGACAGTAACTGTAGGACGGGATACTGGTCAGGTAGTCAGGAACTGTAAGGCTGGAGGTGATGAATGGTTTTGAAAACCGACAAGTTGAAGAATTGAGACACTTATGCAACATATGGGAATCTTTATTGAAGATAAAGATTCCCATATGTTGCATAAGTGTCTCAATTCTTCAAGGCTGGAGGTGCTGTCCTGGTAGACAGTAACTGCAGGGCTTTAGAGGAGTTTGGCATATTAGTGGCCCTCGAGGGAGACAGGAGCTGGTAGTGGAGAAACAAGTGGTAGTTAAGTAAAAGGATAAAACCAATATTACAAACTAGCAATACCACAGGAGATAGCAAAAAAAGGGGGAAATTCCACTTAGAAATAGTGAAGGTAAATTACCAGAAATAACTGGCGAGAGCTCCATTGTTAGTACTAGTGAAGACAGAATTGAGACAGGAAAACATGCACCAGCAGGGAATACAGTCACAAAAATTCAAGGCAAACAGAAACCAAGCCTGTGCAGATATTATGCACTTGGTATCTGCAGGCATGGAATATCTGGAAAAACAGATGGGACGTGCAACTTTGACCACCCTAGAAAATGCCGTACCCATATGACAACAGGAAAATGCAACCTCCCTTCCTGTAAGCGTTTTCACCCTGAAATGTGTAACTCTTAAGTACAGGAAAGACAGTGCTATAACTTATATTGCCAGGCACCATCCAAAGGGGACATAAAGATACAAAACACCCAGACCATGGGAAAACCGGGGAAGCCACAGCCACTCAAGAGAGAGAGTTTTTTTTAGTGCCAGGAAGGAAAAAAAAAACTGGCAAGAAATGGCAGAAATCGTACACCAAATCCAATCATTTCTGGGGTGGATTCACAGATAGCCTCCATTCCAAACCAACAGACACAGATATTAGTGCCAGGCAAAAAAAGTCTCCCCCAGTACCACCAGGACCACCAATCCGATGACATTCTTCTTTGCAAATATACAGGGTCTAAAGCCAGCAACGAACAACAAAATACCTTTCTTCCGTGGACTGCTTGCAGAGGCAAATGCAATGTTCGTGGCTTTCACAGAGACCCACATAAAGGATCACTTGGACAACGAAATATGGATCCCGGGTTACAACCTATACAAATGCGATAGAGTGAGCAGGCAAAAGGGGGAGTTGGGGGGTTGGCCTGTATATAGCAGAGTCACTTATTTATTCAGAACTGCTAAATGCCTCAGATGATGTAGTTGAAGTTTTAGCAGGAAAGATCGAGAACCAAAATCTAGTCATTGCATTAGTTTACAAGCCTTTGGATGCAACGTCCCAACAATTCCAGGAACAGCTATTGAAAATTGACCACTGTCTGGAAAATCTTCCAACTCCTGCTCCCAACATCTTGCTCCTGGGAGATTTCAACTTAAGCCACCTAAAATGGAGGAATATAGCAAATAAGTTGTTGCAGTGATAACAACCCAGGAGGCAAGCTCAGATGAGAACTCACACACACATGAGCTTTTGAATCTCTGCACAAAATTCACCTTAAACCAGCAAATAATAGAGCCTACCAGATTGGAGAATACACTGGACCTCATCTTCTCTGACAGTGATGATCTGATACGAAATGTCACCATATCAAAAACAATATACTCAGATCACAACATAATCGAGGTTCAGACATGTATGCGTGGAGTCCCAGACAGACAAAATGTGATCAGTCATGACGGAGCCTTCACCCAATTCAACTTCAATAACAAGAACATAAAGTGGGACCAGGTAAACCAAGTCCTAAATGATATAAGCTGGGAAAATAGCCTAAGCACCACAGACCCCCGACTTATGCCTAGAACAGATTAACTCTGTGGCACTTGATGTATGTTCAAGGCTTATTCCTTTAAGAAAAAAGAGTAGTTGTAAAATAGTAAGAGATAGGCGCTCCCTTTACAGAGCGGCTAAAAGAGGCCAATATATCTGCAATGCGTAGGGAGACACTGGTCAGAGAAATAGCAAACATCGAACTAAAGCTAAAGGAATCTTATAGGAGTCAGGAATTGCGGGAAGAACTAAAAGCCATAAATGAAATCGAGAGAAACCTAAAGTATTTCTTTTCTTATGCCAAATCAAAGTCGAGAACAACATCCAGTCTTGGGCACCTACTTAAAAGATGGGTCCTACACAGATGACAGCAAAGAAATGAGTGAGCTACTCAAGTCCCAATATGACTCAGTTTTTAGCAAGCCGCTAACCAGACTGAGAGTCGAAGATCTAAATGAATTTTTTATGAGAGAGCCACAGAATTTGCTAAACACAAGCCTATCTGACGTTATCCTGACGCCAAATGACTTCGAACAGGCGATAAATGACATGCCCACGCACTCTGCCCCAGGGCCAGACTCATGGAACTCCGTGTTCATCAAGAACTGCAAGAACCCCTATCACGTGCTTTTAACACCCTATGGAGAGGGAGCATGGACACTGGGGTCGTCCCACAGTTACTAAAAACAACAGACATAGCCCCACTCCACAAAGGGGGCAGTAAAGCAATAGCAAAGAACTACAGACCGATAGCACTAACATCACATATCACAAAAATCTTTGAAAGGGTCCTAAGCAAAATCGCTACCCATCAAGATATCCATCAGTTACACAACCCAGGGCAACATGGGCTTTGAGTAGGTCGCTCCTGTCTGTCCCAACTACTTGATCACTACAACAAGGTACTGGATGCACTAGAAGACAAAGAATGCAGATGTAATATACACAGACTTTGCCAAAGCCTTTGACAAGTGTGACCATGGTGTAATAGCGCACAAAATGCGTGCGAAAGGAACAACAGGAAAAGTTGGTAGATGGATCTATAATTTCCTGACAAATAGAACACAAAGAGTAGTAGTCAACAGAGTAAAGTCTGACGGCTACGGTGAAAAGCTCTGTTCCTCAAGGCACAGCACTCGCTCCCATCTTGTTCCTCCTCCTCGTATCAGACATAGACAGGGATATAAGCCACAGTGACGTGTCTTCCTTTGCAGATGACACCCGAATCTGCATGACAGTGTCTTCCATTGCAGACACTGCAAGGCTCCAGGCAGACATCAACCAAATCTTTCAATGGGCTGCAGAAAACAATATGAAGTTCAACGATGAGAAATTTCAATTACTCCGATATGGTAAATGTGAGGAAATTAAAACTTCTTCAGAGTATAAAACAAATTCCAACCACACAATAGAGCGAAAAACTAACGTCAAAGATCTGGGAGTTATCATGTCGGAGGATCTCACATTCAAGGACCATAACATCGTATCAATCGCATCTGCTAGAAAAATGACAGGAGGGATAATGAGAACCTTCAAAACTAGGGATGCCAAGCCCATGACACTCTTCAGGTCGCTCGTTCTATCTAGGCTGGAATATTGCTGCGCACTAACAGCACCTTTCAAGGCAGGTGAAATTGCTGAACTGGAAAATGTACAGAGAACCTTCACGGCGCGCATAACGGAGATAAAACACCTCAATTACTGGGAACGCTTGAAGTACCTGAACCTGTATTCCCTGGAATGCAGGCGGGAGAGATACATGATTATATACACCTGGAAAATCTTAAAGGAACTAGTACCAAACTTGCACACGAAAATCACTCTTTACGAAAGCAAAAGACTCGGCAGACGATGCAACATCCCCCCAATGAAAAGCAGGGGTGTTACTAGCACGATAAGAGACAACACAATAAGTGTCAGGGGCCCAAGACTGTTCAACTGCCTCCCAACATACATAAGGGGGATTACCAATAGACCCCTGGCTGTCTTCAAGCAGGCACTGGACAAGCACATGAAGTCGGTACCTGACCAGCCGGGCTGTGGTTCGTACGTTGGATTGCGTGCAACCAGCAGTAACAGCCTGGTTGATCAGGCCCTGATCCACTATGAGGCCTGGTCACAGACCGGGCTGCGGGGGCGTTGACCCCCGGAACTCTCTCCAGGTAAACTCCCGGTATGTTCATAAGTGTTTCCTGGCGCTGGTCTAAGTTATATGATGACCCTGCAGCCGGAGCTTTTCGGAATCTGACTGACGCCTTCCACTGGCTTACCCGTCCACTCCTTTTAAAATTACGGTTATAATTAGTAATTTACACTATGTATGATAATTGTACTTATATGTAACAAAAAAAGGCACAATACCGTGACTGGAACGATACACAAATAACCCGCACATAGAAGAGAGGAGCTTACGACGACGTTTCGGTCCGACTTGGACCATTTACAAAGTCACACTGTCGGACCGAAACGTCGTCGTAAGCTCCTCTCTTCTATGTGCGGGTTATTTGTGTACATATTATATGTACCCGTACCTAAATAAACTTATTGATGGGCACTTAAAACACATTATGTAACATATTTCCATTGCGGCACTATGTCTAGGATCGTTTAATTTACTCTCATTTAAATTTGAAAAAAGCTATGATTCAAATGTATCTTTGTTTTAATGCTACACGAGACTAGCACCGATTATTTATATAGTTTAAGACCCTTAATTTTTATACATTAGTTTTCTGTAGTTTCGCAGCACAGAAAATGGATTTAGTTGATGGGAATCTAAAGTAATTCGATTTTACAGTGTTTTTAACATTGCTTGTAGTAGCTGACGACGTTTTTATGCAGATTAATATCCCTGAATGGTTTATATCCTGGGATAACGCAAGCAGTATGCCTTGTTTTCGTTTGGATTATTTTCTAGGTCCACAGAATGCGACCCACAATAATCTACGAATACCCCAATGGAAATTAAAGACCCCAATGTAACATGCGAAGATTTTGTTCGGATCATATTAACCCAGAAGAGTAGTAACCCAAGATAAGCCGGTTGAGGTCCTTTAATTCTCTTTCCCAGGATGCAATTCACACGCCAGTCTCCTAATACCCAGGTACCCTATGATTCTATTTGCCCGGGAATCAAGCTGTGATCCCTCAATGTGCGAGCTAAGGCCGCTACCAAGTGAGCCACGAGCAAACTTAAACTGTCAGGAGTGGGAGATAGCAGGCGTTAAAATATTTTCTCCGAATATATT